CCCAAACTTTCTTTTCCCTGGCGACATCAACCAGCTCTGACTGGGAGATCCCAAGGCGCTCCCAGGCCAGCGAAGAGATATAATCCCTCCACCTGGTCCTAGGTCTACCCCTTGGTCTCTTCCCAGCTGGACGTGCCTGGAACACCTCCCTAGGGAGGCGCCCAGGTGGCATCCTAACTAGGTGCCCGAACCACCTCAACTGGCTCCTTTCGACGCGAAGGAGGAGCGGCTCAACTCCGAGTCCCTCCCTGATGACCGAACTTCTCACCTTATCCCTAAGGGAGACACCAGCCACCCTGCGGAGAAAACCCATCTCGGCCGCTTGTATCCGCGATCTCGTTCTTTCGGTCATGACCCATCCTTCATGACCATAGGTGAGGGTAGGAACGCAAATGGCCCGGTAGACAGAGAGCTTTGCCTTCTGGCTCAGCTCCCTTTTCGTCACAACGGTGCGGTAAAGCGGCTGCAGTACCGCTCCCGCTGCTCCGATTCTCCGGCCCATCTCACGCTCCATTGTTCCCTCACTCGAGAACAAGACCCCGAGATACTTGAACTCCTTCACTTGGGGTAAGGACTCATTCCCTACTTGAAGTGGACAGTCCATCGGTTTCCTGCTGAGAACCATGGCCTCAGATTTGGAGGTGCTGATCCTCATCCCAGCCGCTTCACACTCGGTTGCGAACCGATCCAGTGAGTGCTGAAGGTCGCAGACCGATGAAGCCATTAGAACCACATCATCTGCAAAAAGCAGTGGTGCAATCCTTAGTCCACCGAACTGCAGACCCCCTCCCCCATGACTACGCCTCGAAATCTGATCCATGTATATTACAAACAGGATTGGTGACAAAGCGCAGCCCTGGCGGAGGCCAACCCTCACCGGAAATGGGTCCGACTTACTGCCGAGGACCCGGACACAGCTCTCGCTTTGGGAGTACAGAGATTGGATGGCCCTGAGTAGAGACCCCCTCACCCCATACTCCCGCAGCACCTCCCACAGTAACTCCCTGGGAACTCGGTCATACGCCTTCTCCAAGTCTACAAAACACATGTAGACCGGATAAGCGTACTCCCAGGCCCCCCTCCAGGATCCTTGCGAGAGTAAAAAGCTGATCCGTCGTTCCACGACCAGGACGGAATCCGCATTGTTCCTCCTCAATCTGAGGTTCGACAATCGGCCTGACCCTCCTTTCGAGTACCTTAGAGTAAACTTTCCCGGGGAGGCTGAGTAGTGTGATGCCTCTGTAATTGGCACACACCCTCTGATCCCCCTTTTTAAAAAGGGGAACCACCACCCCGGTCTGCCACTCCTTCGGTACTGTTTCCGACTTCCACGCAACGTTGATGAGAAGTGTCAACCATGACAGTCCCTCAACACCCAGAGCCTTCAGCATTTCCGGGCGGATCTCATCCACCCCCGGGGCTTTGCCACTGTGGAGTTGTTTGACGACCTCAGTGACCTCCCCCCGGGAGATTGGTGTTGATCCCCCGTCATACTCCAGCTCTGCCTCTAACATAGAGGGCGGAGTTGTCGGGTTCATGAGTTTCTCAAAGTGTTCCTTCCAACGCCCCAACACTCCATCAGTTGAGGTCAACAACGTCCCATCCTTACTGTACACAGCTTGGATGGTTCCCTGCTTCCCCCTCCTGAGGTGTCGGACAGTTTTCCAGAACAACTTTGGTGCCGCCCGAAAGTCCTTCTCCATGTCTTCTCCAAACTTCTCCCACACCCGCTGCTTTGCCTCGGCCACGGATGAGGCTGCTGCCCTTCGGGCCTGTCGGTACCTTGCAACTGCCTCGGGAGTCCCCCGGGATAACAAATCCCTGAAGGCCTCCTTCTTCAGTCGGACGGCTTCCCTGACGGTGTCCACCAGGAGGTTCGAGGGTTACCGCCCCTTGAGGCACCTAGGACCTTGAGACCACAGCTCCCCGCCGCGGCTTCGGCAATAGAGGCTTTGAACACCGACCACTCTGGTTCAATGTCCCCAACCTCCACAGGAATGCCCGAAAAGCTCCGCCGGAGGTGTGAGTTGAAGGCCTCCTGAACTTGGGCCTCCTCCAGATGTTCCCAGTTCACCCGAACTACACGTTTGGGCTTACCAGGTCTATCCAGAGGCTTCCCCCGCCACTCGACCCAACTCACCACCAGATGGTGATCAGTTGACAACACTGCCCCTCTCTTTACCCGAGTGTCCAAAACATACGGCCTCAGGTCCGATGATACGATAACAAAATCGATCATGGACCTTCTGCCTAGGGTGCTCTGGTACCACGTACACTTATGAGCATCCTTATGTTCGAACATGGTGTTTGTTATGGCCAATCCATGACTAGCACAGAAGTCCAGTAACAAACCACCACTCCGGTTCAGATCAGGGGGGCCGTTCCTCCCAATCACGCCCCTCCAAGTGTCTCCATCATTGCCCACATGTGCGTTGAAGTCTCCCAGCAAGATTAAAGAGTCCCCTTCAGGAGCCCCATACAGGACTCTTTCCAGGGTCTCCAAGAAGGCCGTATACTCTGAACTGCTGTTGGGTGCATAAGCACACACAACAGTCAGAGTTTTCCCCCCCATAACCCGCAGGCGTAGGGAGGCGACCCTCTCGTCCACTGGGGTAAACTCCAACAACGAAGCACCTAACCGGGGACTTGTGAGTATCCCCACACCCGCCCGGCGCCTCACACCTTGGGCAACTCCGGAGAAGAATAGAGTCCAACCCCTATCCAGAAGTAAGGTTCCAGAGCCGACGCTGTGCGTAGAGGTGAGCCCAACCAGATCCAACTGGTAACGCTCCACCTCCCGCACAAGCTCCGGCTCCTTCCCCCCCAGAGAGGTGACGTTCCACGTCCCCAAAGCCAGCTTCTATCGCCGGGTCTGGTCCGTCGAGACCCTCCGCTTTCACTGCCACCCTTCTGGCAGCGCACCCGACCCCATCGATGTTTCCCGTAGGTGGTGGGCCCGCGGGAGGTGTTGCCCACGTTGCCTTTTCGGGCTGGGCCCGGCCGGGCTCCGTGGCAAGCCCGGCCACCAGACGCTCGCCGACGAGTCCTCCTTCTGGGCCTGGCTCCAGAAGGGGACCCCGGGCTTCCTCCGGGCCGGGTATCCTCACTTCTTGTGTCGTCTTTCATGAGGTCAAAGTAACTAATTTACACAAATTGTAAAGGATGGCAGTACGGCCACTGTTGCAGGATTAAGATGTTTTCTGCTATTGGATGTCATGAGACTAAGTAAATTCCCCACAACTCCGTAAAACCAACACTGGGGACTTAGTTTCCCTGTGGCTGTTTGCAAACTAAAACAAGGGGGAGACCAGCGAGAGAAAAACCTGCTATGTTCCTAAGCAAACACACTGTAGTCGTGTTTGAAAATGTTTGTGAGTATTTTGAGGCTCAATTGCTGCTCAGAATCAGACTCAGAGTCTTAAAAAAGAGATTCTGTAATCAATAAACCAGATAAATAAAAGTACGTTATGAATGATTACTGTTAACATATTGTTTTTTAGTCTCTTTTTATATATGAGTTATAAGACACACTTTTTCTGGATTTGCCCTTTACTTTGTTTTTAAGGATTTGGTGTAGTCATATTCTTTGTGTTTCATCTTCATGTCTTAAGTGCTTAAAGTCCTCATGCAGTTGACCTTTCAAGGTTAAATGGAAACAACAGTATGTCAATGCGTCTTGAAGCAGCAGTGTCTCAAGACGTGGCTTTGCATTGGAGCTTTTGATTGGTCGTGCTGATGAATGACAGAGGTAAAAAAAAAAGGGGACAGATGATTAAATATGAGAGGAAAGAAGGGAAGGCTCATTTCCTTTTAAGCTGATATAATTTATATTTATATGCAGTAGCTAATGTGACCTGCAAACTTATTTTAGTAGCACAGCGGTGGGAAAGGAAGGGGTGGCATCTGGTTTCAGGAAAGGCCCAACATGAAACACGCTTACTGCGAAGATAAGATATCACCCTCCACTAAAATAGTTTGTCCCGTATATCAAAATACTGAAATAAAATCAGCAAGAAAGGTTGTGTCACCATACAGTAAAGTCCAGTCTGTTTTATTTAACTTTTGATAATTGTTATTCCCTAATGAATGATGGTAATATGCAGCGTAAAACTCAGCATGCGTTGTATGAAAGTTAACATGAAGACAGAAAATACATATAACTCATAATTGTATTCAATGGTCTTTGCACGTTTGGCACTGGTATTGAAAAGATAAAACGTAATGAAGATCTTTAAAAGCGCAAAGACAGCTGTAACACCCTATAGATGAGAGGTTATATCGACCAAGCATCATGCTGACTGTGTAATGGTCAAAGGAGGCTTGTGTGTGTGTGTGTGTGTGTGTGTGTGTGTGTGTGTGTGTGTGTGTGTGTGTGTGTGTGTGTGTGTGTGTGTGTGTGTGTGTGTGTGTGTGTGTGTGTGTGTGTGTGTGTGTGGTGTGTGTGTGTGTGTGTGTGTGTGTGTGTGTGTGTGTGCGTCTAAAGAGAGATTATATATAAATAAAGTGAATCAAGTCATTGGGATGTCATCACTGTTGTGAATCTATTTTGTCACTGAAGTTAAACTCTCACTTCAAATTGTTTGAATTGCTTCTTTTTTTGCACTGCACTTACACATGTATTTGTAATTGATTCAAGCAATCCAATAAGAAAACTAAACTAAATTGCTTAGGTTTTATCAAAAAGAAAAGTGTGATAGTCATTTGCTGCTCGCTGCTGCATTCAAGGCGCTTCGTAGGGTTATTTTTTCCCAGTTTCCGGTTGAAACAAAAAACAGCAACCATAAATACAATTCTATTTTGTTGAAACAGTAGCTTACAAATAGAGTAAATATATTCTAAGGCTATTATTTATTTGACAAAACGTATACCAAGGTTTGCGTATTACTTAGTAAAAAGGGATATTTAATCATTTTCTTATCACCAAATGTTACCTAAAAGCATCACCGCCGCTGAACAGGCGATGTTCACGTCATGCATTTGGTGACGTAGGCGTAGTAGAAGCTATACAGAAGCGAGCACGAGAGACCTGGCTGCTTGACTGACTCAGACATCAGAACACTGCACTAGACAAGGCTGTGAAGCGGCTTCTTTCTTCTGACAATGATTAACATCACGATATCTTAAAAATAATATAAATTACTTGATCTTCTTGAAGAAGCAATGGCGAGAGGAGAGGGAGCCGAGCAGTACGCGGCGGGTTTACTATCAGTCAAACCTATAAATACAGCGGTCAAGACAGCAAAGGTAAGATAAAACATTTATATACTTCATTTAATGGTTTATTTTTAAAAGATGCGTAACCATGTTTTACTGAGAAGGCTCCGCTACAGCCTTTACAAAGGGCGCCTAAATTGAAAGTAACGTCTATTACCTTCCATTACTTCCTTTCCGTTTTTCCAAATCTCCCCTGACTCCTCGGTGTTTGAATTTCACCCGGTTTGTCCATCTGTCCGCGGACAGCTGCTCTTGAGTGCGACATACCGATTTTTAAAGGGACCACGTCTTCATTAAACTTGCCATTTTAGACATTTGATTGTAACCGTAGGCCTAGAGTCAGCAGTGATGAATAAGGACAGATGTGCCGCACAGCGTGACGTGTTACATATCCTCCAGAGCTGCATGATTAAAATGGGTGTTTTCAAAATTGAGATTTATGTTAAATACGTTTTTGTGTGCTACACAGCAGATGTACTATTCTTTTAACAGCAATATCAGATTGACATGAGCATGAATGATCTAAGTTTGCCTACTTGTGAATGCCATGTCTGAGGGTATTGAATAAATAAGTCTCAAATATTTCTTTATATATGAAAATTAATTTCAACTGAGTTAAGACATTTTTTAGATAAAACAATTTAATTAAAGAAATACTTGTCATTTGGCCTTAGATACCTCTATAGATACACCTATGGAAAACATGAAATGTTGTTGAGGGATCATCAAAGGTTGTCTACAGTATTTCTTAGTTGGGTTTTATTTTCACACAATAAACGGACCAGCAACGGTTTGTTACATTCAAGCCTTACTGATTTGTGAATACAGCGGTATCAACTTGCTCCCATCATGAGGGGATGCTGCTTTTACTGTGGAGGATGTGAGTCCTGATGTAGAGATCCCCTTGCTGACATCATCAGACCGCTGCAGGTGATTGGCCATGGCCGAACGATGGGATGAGACTCTAAGCTGTCTGCTGACTGTTGGCTAATCAGCATGAAATGTTACACAGCTCCAACATCCTATCGCTAGAGCCAATGGACACGCGGGAATGTAGTGTGAGTCTGTGCGAACTGCAGTAACCTCATACGTTCACGGCTCTGGGATTTTCTCTAATCTAGCATTCTGAGCAGTGGGCTGAGGGAAGTTAGCCAATCTCACTCACTTGTGGTTACAAGCTGTTTATCACGGCATCAATTATGGGAAGAGTTTTGGACAAAAGGATGGATGAAAGTAGTTGAAGCAGAAAACAAGAGATGTAATAAGCTCCAGAGTACAGAAGAGAGCTGGAGATAATGATCACGTAGCACGCCACTGCCAATCTGAATTTATAGCTCCTCATTGTTTACAGATGCAAAAGCTGTTATAAAGCTAAGGACATTACGCTGACTCTGTCCCTCCCTTTCTTTGTCTTCCAGCCAAAGGACCAGAGAAATCGTCTGTCTGTGTGGAACAAACTCTGCTATGCCATCGGTGGGGCTCCCTACCAGATCACAGGCAGCGCTCTGGGCTTCTTCCTGCAGCTCTACCTGCTGGATGTGGCTCAGGTGATGACACGAACCACACCAAATAGTGAAAACACACTTGTCTGAGCTATAAAACAAATGTTTTTCTTTCAAATATACAGTCTCTTTGAATTAGTTTGGAAAGGCAAACATTCGTGTAAGAGGAACAAGTGTTAGGAATGCATTTTTTCCGTAGCTCTGCTTACTGATTAACTCCAAGGCTGAAGCTTGTGTTCGCTCTCCTCAGCTTTGTATCAGTTTAACAGTCTTCATCTTGAAGTAGCCGTTCAAGCGAATTAACCTTGCCCCTACTGCTTTGTTACTCAATTAGCAAATGATACTTTTCCACTGAACACAGTAGGACCTAAACTAAAGGCGTTCAGCTCAAGAGATGAGACCTTACAGTGGCTTTGAATTTACTTAAACAAATGACACAGTTCATCAGAATCATACTCCGTGCCATATGAGGTATCATTTCCTCTCTGTTTTGGTTATATGACTCACTCTTTTCTCACTTTCTCGCTGTAGCTGGATCCCTTCCATGCCTCTATAATCCTGTTTGTGGGCCGGGCCTGGGACGCGGTCACAGACCCCACAGTGGGTTTCTTTGTGAGCCGGAGTAGATGGACAGGCATCGGCCGCATGATGCCCTGGTAGGTATTTGAATGCATTTATGATAAGTTCACATAGCGAAGAGGATATGAAGAGATAATAAGGACATACAAGATAGTGAATTGTTTGGCAAATGCACAGAAAAAGCCAGCTCATGAGATGTGGGCAGTAACCATGGCAACAAGGTTGAATTGGCTTGTAATGAGTTGAAGCAGTTTGAGAATATAGTCGGTATGAAACACTGCATCACATCCGTGTGACGCACCCTGAAGCTAAGGAGTAACCATCCTAATGCACAAACATCAGCATTTCCTTCATCTTCATGTCTTTCTGGATCCAGCTGTGTGCTTGAATCCAGCAGCTGTTTTTACTGTCAGTCAGGACGATTGGGTTTCACTTTTGAATGGATATGCTTTTGAGCTTGTAGCTTATTATGTACAACTTTAATCGCTCTACTTGTTCGCTTGCTAAAAGTGTTTTTCTTAACTGCCTTTGTCGATGCATTGCTGCGTTTCTTTGTGCTTCAGAGAAATACAGATGGCACTATGTGTACTCCCACATGCCTGTAGATGTCACGTGTGTAACATCACAAAACTGTACAGGGTACCTTTTCATTTCCTGTGTGTATAAAATCTGCTATTAAATTATATTAAATGTACATTTGCTATTTGAACCACGATTACGTAATCAAAAGCATGATATAGATCAAATAGCTGGATGGAAAGGTTTGCTTTGAATCTGGGAAGACGTCCAATAATTCAGTCACAATAAAGCCAACATGCCGCCTCTTCTATTTCTGTGAAGCAGTAGCTGATCTAAATACTTTACTGGAATCTCTCTCACGTGACATCTCAGAGATATTTTGATCATCATCATGGCTACAGAAATGCCGGCTGCGCATGTAGTCGTGTTGCATGTGGTTTGAATGGGTGGGGGAGGGGAGGTAACCGGCTTCTGCGATTGGTCAAACCCTCAACACACCATCAGCTCAAAGCAATAGGGGTGTGTCGTGTGTGTGCTTGATTTCCTAGGAGGGGTGCGAAGCGCAGAGAGGTTACCTTGGGTCAAGAAGCATGCTGGGTTGAAATAATGAAGGTCATTGTTAAAATAGGGACGTGTGCATGATCCTCTTTGGCTCGTGTAGCTTTTTAATTTGCAGAGGAACAGGAACACACAAAGGTCTTGTTTTACATCCTCACCTGTTCTTCCTCTATGTGCTGAACATGTTTTATAAAGATCTTGTGGCATGGCACTAGAATAGGACACTAAGTATAGTCAGAATTTTAAACACTTTTTTTGTGTGCGCTCTGTGCAAATTGATTTACTGTTTGCACCTCAAGGTCATTTCCTGTGCTTAACTGACCTCAAAATGTGACACAGAAAGAATCTGTTCAATCAGCCATGGCAGTCTGCGAAACAGTCGCAAATTGGCCTCAATTTCCAGAGAAATGAGCTCTAATTAGCCTGATTCAGTCAGACGTTAGGCAATAAGGAGGTGCTTTCTTTGCCATTTCCCACGTGTGTTCACACCAGAAGGGGGGTGGGGGTTTCATATGACCACGTGCGAGTGCAGAAGTGTCCCGTTCAATAAAGAAACATCACTTCCTGTTCAGTGATATGGCGATCAAGGAAGAGACAGCCCTTCCCTGTTTGCATGACAACAAAGAAAAGATGTATGCAAAGAAAGTCAGGCTGGTTTTGTCATCGACAAATCTTCCAGCTTTCTTTTCAGCTAATTGTTTGGTCAATCCAATGTCAGACAAAAGAATCAAATGAAAGTCACAGTTATGGATTCCAGGAGCCCGAGGGACCTTTTTTTTTGTCTTACAGTCCTGAACCCAAACGTGTTCAATGTAACACAGGCTGGAACCAGAGAGTATTCATAGTTTTTAATTAAAAACAATAAATTGGTTTCAAAATATTTGTATATTCTGTTAATGTAATGTTTCTCTTTCCAGTATGGCAGCAAAGCCCTAAAAGTAGGCTTGTTTCAAATGAAAAACCGATGATATCCTCATGTTTACAGGGAGTTAATGCTGGACTGCTGTTTTTGAAAACAGTTTGTGAAGTGGGACCAGCTTCTCGGTCAGCTGGAGCTCAGGGAAAGGCTGCTGGGTCTGAGTGGGGTGAGAGCGTTCTCCCAGCTCACCCCGCTCACCCCACTCTCCTCCTGCAGCCCACACTGAGCCCTTTTTCAGAACACGAGCTGCAACAAGGCAGGATTAGGGGGATTATTCACAAAGCGTCAGGGACAGAGTTGAAAAGAAGTGGCTACAAGGACGGAAAAGGCAGAGTAAAGCTACAGTAACAGTTGGGAGAATTCTTTAAATCGCAGGTTGTGCACTTTTTCAAGATATTGTTCCAAAAACACACATTTGCTTATTAAAGACAAATGTTTATTTTCTTTAAATGTGCCTTTATCATACTGTCCCCTAACAATCCTCCACCCTTCTCTTCCCAGGATCCTTTGCTCTACACCGTTTGCGGTGCTGACGTACTTCCTGATCTGGTACGTGCCTCCATTTGAGGAGGGGAAGATCGTCTGGTACCTGATATTTTACTGCCTCTTCCAGTCCATGCAGACGGTTAGTAGGTTTTGTTGACACTCCCCAGCACTTAGTTCCCCTCGGCCCAGTGTGTACACTAACCTCGCTGTGTTTGTGTTTGCAGTGCTTCCACGTGCCATATTCAGCCCTCACCATGTTCATCACCACCGACCAGAAAGAGCGGGACTCTGCCACTGCTTATCGTACGTCCGCTCACGTTTCAAGATTCAAGGCTTTATTGTCATTTGCACATTAGCTGCAGTGTAGATATGGCAATGAAAAACTTAAGTCACAGGCTCCTCCAACAGTGCAACATATATATATATATATATATATATATATATATATATATATAGAACAAATAAAACAGATAAAATAGTGCAAGAGAATGTTTTGAGTAAAATCCAAATGAAATATAAATAGCGGAAGAAGAGTCTATATACAAGTAAATTGAATGATATATTAGATAAATAATTAGCAAAATGCAAACGGATGAATGTAAAGGATGTAAAGGATGTCCTTTAAAAAGTCCAGGTGACGTGTGTTGTGGTTCAGGCGCTGACCTTCTCTCTGTTGCTCTCAGGTATGATGGTGGAGGTGCTGGGCACCGTGCTGGGCACAGCCATCCAGGGACAGATAGTAGGTGGCGCCTCAAATTGTCCCGACCCTGATGAGCTCGACAGCAGTAACTCAACCATCCCAACCGGCTATTCACTGGAGGAAACAGTGAGTTTCTCATGTCTTTTGCATTGTGTCACATCATGAATGATAATAAAGTTTGGAAAAACTAACGCTGTGTTTTTTATCTCCAGAAACAAGCATACCTTATTGCTTCAGGCGTCATCTGTATCATCTACGTCTGCTGTGCAGCAGTCTTGTTTCTGGGTGTCAAGGAGAAAAAAGGTATGAATCTGTGAAATACCACAAGTTCTCCATTGCCCAATGCCAAAGCTGAATATTTGTAATATTTGAAAAGCAGATCTGTGGATAAGAGACGCATAACTATGACGGGTGTCAGACTTGAGTCATGATTGTGAGGACTTTTGACTCAACATGACATATTTTATAAACGAAAGTTGTCTTCTGCTAATGAACTGTTTATTGTTCTGGAAGATGTACTCTGAATGAATCCAACAGAAGCAAACCACATTGCGTAAGCAGGAGGGAAAGATGCGTCAGTGCAAACAAACAGATCATCTTCATGCCAAGTGTTTCTGCAAAAGCAACCGATTGGGTCAGAGGAAAACGAACCAAAACAACATAATTACAGTATTTAGCTTTGAAAGGTTTTTTTGAAATGAATGAATTCAACATTCAAACGTTAGTTCTGTTAATTGAACTAATTAAGACATTGGGGAAGGTTCAGAACAGGCCCTCATAGCCAAGATTTGAGTCTGAGTTTGAATGTGTTGGCCACATTCTGTCAGACACTAACTCTCTAAAGAAAAAGTGTATCACACCACGATGTCTCTGCATGGTGATTAAAATCCTGATGGAAAATCTTTCTAGATGTCTTATATTTTGTGCTCCTCTCCTTCATATCGAATTATAGATAACGGGCGAAAGAAAACACTACTCACCTTCCGTCAGGGCATCTGTCTGGTGATGAGTCACGGACCGTACGTCAAACTGGTCATCGGCTTCCTCTTCACCTCTCTGGCCTTCATGGTAATATTTAGTTTCCCTATGTGTATACTTTCATGCATGGGAGGGTACATGTAGCTTAGCTTAGCATAAAGAAATGGGCTGCTACCTGTCGAAAGGTACAACAACAACACCTTGTGCTCATGTCAACATTAAACAAACACATTATAGAGTAATCTTCCTAAAATGTGAAACCATTCCTTTATCTGGGACTGTACATTTCATAAATATGACTTCCTTTGTTTTTTTTCAGCTCCTGGAGGGAAACTTTGCTCTTTTCATCACCTACTCTCTGGGCCATAGGAAACACTTCCAAAACATTCTCCTAGTCATCATGGTGAGTGTTTTCTAGTTCTACTGAAGGACTGTTTACCCCGAGGTGTTGTTTGGGCTCCTGGGAACCTGCCTCCCTGTCACACACTCGCCTGGCGTTAGCAGGACATGGAGGGAGAGACAGGCCCACAGTGGGGCTTTTGTTGCCCTGGCGATCCCTCACTCCCACTATGGGAACGGCCACCATTGGTTGCGACCTTCTCTCGCTGCTTTCTGCTCTGCTGCTTTCCCTCTGATTAGGAGTGGAAACATTTTTGGGCACCATGTATCATATTCGGAGAGATGGGAGTTAAGGGGGAGAAAGGACATATTTTCCATTGTATTCGCTCGCAGTTAATGTCTCCCAGTGCTAAGCTTGTTCTTGTGTGGTCATTTAACAGCGGTTGACCAAGTTTAACCTGGACGTCAAAGGTTTTCCTGCAGGGTTAAGTCAAGAACACACAAAGCATATTGTGCCCTTGTCCTAATCCTCCCATGGTCACTTTATTCTTTCCAGTTCCCACATTTTCTATACTTTTAATGAAGCCAGGTTCAACATTTGATTGATTTTAATGCTGAATTAATGTTAGCATTAATCCATCGTGCCCAGAACTGCAGCTAGGTTTTTAGTTACATCAATGTCTTATAGCACTGCAAGTCCAACATGCAGCTCTGGTTTTTGGATAATAATTGTTTTTGTAGACGGATAAATCCACCTTTACTATTTCATGATTTACACACAGATTTCTCAAGGTGTTAATTTGTAGGGTAATATTACAAAGGAAAATGCATTTATGCAAACAAAACAATTAGGCCCCTTTTTAAACAAAGACATTGACAAGTGTTGGTACACTATTATTATATGTATATTTCTGGTTTAAATATAGTATTTATAACTACAACAAGCCATATTCCCATACTTGACAGTAACATAGTAAAACTTCAACATCTACCACAATACAAAAATATATGAGCTCAGTGTCCTCAGTGGCACGTCTTATCTCAATTATAACAATAACCAAGTGAGTGAAACATTGGCAATCATTACTGTGACTCCAAGTGTTCCTGCAACATACAACATGTTTATATTATGTGCAACAATGTCAGAGAAGAGCCAACTATATTTTTTTAGTTGAATCAAGATAAAGAACAACAACCTAATCTGTATGGCCTCGAGATTTAAATGCCTCTTATCTTTCTTCCTGATAACGCTAATCCAACAACAACAACAACAACAACAACAACAACAGCTTCATCTGGCTAAACAACTCCAGATATATTAGTCGTTTTTATTGTTAAAAATCAACGTTGTACATCATTTAATATTTTTGCAAGCTTTCGTAATGAGATTTAATAAAACAGCCAAACTGATAATTCTGTCTCATATTTTGTTTTTCCAGTTATCAGGGACTCTAACCATCCCGTGGTGGCAGTGGTTTCTGACCCGCTTTGGAAAGAAGAAGGCGGTTTACTTTGGCATCTCTGTGAGTAAAAACACATCTTATTTTAGGCACAACAAAGACATTCATTCAAAAAGGATGTGAGTGTATGGATTTGCTGACATCCTCCTGTCTTTTTCTATAGTGGGCCGTACCCTTCATGCTCCTCATCGTCTGCATCAAGAGCCACCTGATCATTTCTTACTTGGTCTCCGTGGCAGCAGGTGTGAGCGTGGCAGCAGCTTTCCTCCTGCCTTGGTAAGCACGAGTTATACTACAAAACCCACACCATCCATACGCATATATGGATATATGTTGTTGTTGTTGTCTCGAGTTTCCCTCTAAACGTTGTGTTTTCCAGGTCAATGCTTCCTGATGTCGTGGACGACTTCAAGGTCAGAAACCCAGACATCCACGGCCACGAAGCCCTCTTCTACTCCTTCTACGTGTTCTTCATTAAATTTGCCTCGGGAATGTCTCTGGGTGTCTCTACGCTCAGTTTAAAGTGAGTTCAACACCTGTTGGATGATTCTCACGTACATTTGAATCCTCACCGTCACCCCTGAAAGGAAGCTAGTTGATTTCTGTCTCTAACACTAAAAGCGATTAGCTCCATGTTAGCGCTCATCAGTCTGGTGATTAATCCCATCCTTCCCCTAACAGTGTTTCACAACTGTTTTCACATCAGCTCAACATTTCTCTCTTTATCTACATTTGTTCGCAGATTTGCCGGCTATGTGACCGGGAGCTGTATACAACCTGAGGCGGTCAGTTTAACCCTGAAGGTGCTGGTCTCTCCTGTGCCTGTGGCCCTTATAGCTGTGGGACTTTTGATATTGAGGACCTATCCTATTGATGAAGAAAGGAGGCAGGGCAACCAGAAGCTACTGCAGGAAATGCTGTAAGAGAAATGCACACAGAAGCGCTCAAAACACAGAAGAAGACGTTTTTGCACGCTGTAAACAAACTTCATAGACGCTAAATTGAGTTCCACTCTGTAAACCTGAGCTACATTTAAATGAAACCTTTTTTTAAAAAACTGTTTAGCTCCGCTGTTTATTCACCCTGTCCAAGCTAGCCAAGTCCTTTGTGGGTAACTTGTGTGTTTTTGCATCCTTTAACAGGGACTCTGAGTCTGAAACTTCAGCGCTGGGGAGTGAGGTGTAGCAACAGCGGAAGGGCTTGACACCACAGCTGCTTTAACCTATTTGCACAAAACTGTCGAGGAACACGACCACCAACTATCTGGACTAACAGAGAGACCACAGACCACAGCTGCTGCACAAACATCCTCAGCATTAAGGCTCCCTGCAGCGGACCACACAGGTTTACATCGCCCTCTAGTGGCCGGTCCGGGGCATCTCCTGTGTCCCAATTAAATCTGCCAAAACTTAAAGTTACAATTGGTTCTATTTAAAGGGTTTCTTACATTGTTTAACTGACACACAGCACTGTCCATCTTTTAAAGAATTGCATAGTGAAATCATTATCATTTATTATAAGAAACCCTTTTTTTGTTTTTTATTCAATAACTACAGCTTTTATAATAAGTGTGACTCATTGGAGTTGTAATCCTTCTATGGTGGAGTTTTACTCAACAGACTGAAATCAAACTGAGTTTCCAAAGAACTGTGACTTTGTGTACTGAGATGTTCCTTTATACCATTTTTTTTTTTACCTCCACAAGTTGTAGACAGCCTTTTTGTTTCATCAACACCGTTACTACACTCCTCTGCTGTGAATGCAGTGCACTATATACTGAAATACTTGGTCAGAATTGGGACACAGCTTGTGATCTATGGTAGTTTATTAAGTATTTATTTGCTGGTTTACATGCTCTGACCTTCACTCGTGCAGCAGACTGGAGTGTGATGTTACCGTTAATGTTTACCACGTCTTAGGTCACTTGTGTTCGCCTTTCCATTCAGACAGCGTGCTCTGAAGGAAACACACACTTTCAACCCTTAGTTATGAAGGGTATACCAGCACTATCCCACTAACTGGAGTCATCTGAAGCTGTGCTACATTTTATACTTCTTATTTGGTGCCGTTGTTCCTTGTACAGTTAGTTCAAGTTAAAAACTTGAATCTCCTGAAGGGGAAAAGGCACCTTGGGGTATGATATACTGTATGTGTGAATCACTGCCTTACATTTTCACCTTAAATTATTAGTTGCAATGAGATTTCTGTTAAAATTCTTGCACAAGTTTTTTTGTTTTTGCTTCACAGAATAGTTTTTCCCATTCAACCTTTTCTTTGCTTTAACATTTCAGCCAATCTCTTCTCTTCTGGTTTATTAGATCTTTCTGAATGTGCTTTCACATAGTCCACTCCAGTATGAAGTCATACAGCATGTTCTCCCCTCCCAAAGGGAAGGGAACCATGATTTATTTAACTATTTATTTGAATTAAATATTTAAGGGATTCTTTTTTTGTTTCTTATGAAGGCACATGTTGATAATAATGTATGAACCTTGAGTGGTTAGTGATTTTTATGTCCTGTGGAAAAAACTTTTCTAAGAAAAGAAAATGGAAAAGGTTGCTGTATGATACACATACTACCTTTACAGTGTTACTGGTATTAAGATTTCATAGACACCTCTTTGAAACTTAATATATTTCTGTATCTATAATTTTCATTCTAAATTGCTCTGAAAGAGGTGAATGAAGCACATTATGTCTCCGAAGTGTTATTTGCAGATGTGTGTATAATATGTAAATACATTTCTAAGTTTGACCTTGTTGAGCAATATAAATCAATGAAAAGATGAAAAATGTGGTGTACATTTTTTATTTAAGTCTGTAAATAAAGTTTGTAAAAACAGAGAAAACTTTCTATGTGTTTGAAATATCAAAATCTAGAATATTTAACTAAATTGTTCACCTGATCATTGATCAAATCTAAAATCCTTAGTTTCATAGTTTTTAACCCTTGACAATAATGTGCATACATTTAATGTAGTATATGTCAATGTAACTTCCAATAAATAGGACCTACAACATATTTACAGTAAGTATTTTTTGAAAATTAAATTAATAAAAGCTGCTCAATGATACGAACAATTTTTTGGTACATTTAAACCATAGAATACATAAAGATTTAAAAACGTTTTTTGCATGAAATTCGAATAAATAAAACGTTAAAAAAGCCGGCCTGTGTTCACTCCGGAAGAGGATTAGGGCCAAGTGGATGTATGGATCTACGGAGCCCCTAAAGGGACATTACAAAAAAACAGAAACAAAAAAAATCAGGATAACGGGTTAGTATCTCGTGCGCACTTTTTTGTTGTTGAGAAAGTTACCGGTGCGCCAAGGAGGAAGTGAAGTGCACAAGGGGACAACCATTTAATTGCAGACTGTTATGTTTATGTGGGGAAATGACAGTGCATACATTATTTGAGATGTGTTTCGTACTCAGACTTCACTTTAAGGACATTTCGGCCAGGAGTGTGTGGTCACTCCAGGAGGCAGCGGGACGTGTAACTCAGAGAAGAGCAGCACCAGCGCTCAAAGAGCTTTTACGCACCGCCTATGTGTTTACCTTCATTGAACAGCTATAAAGAGTGACCACAGGCTGTTACGTTTTAACCACACACACCTCTACACACATCGAACTGCCCGATTACTCCCCCTTTTATTAGTTTTATGAAGGAGATGTCCGGTCACCAGGGCGCATGATGGGCGGACTGGGACTAAAAATCAGCCCGGGAATCTCACCCAGCCCAGCCCACGTAAACTGTCAAGGGGGGCGGCTAGTGAACTGTCAACGGGGGGAGCCTCGCTGCGGGGAAACGGTGGACCTAGTGGCCCGATCGGAGTGGGCCCACTTCAGTACCGGCCCATTGGGATTCGTCCCGATGGCCATTCTGCTGTGTGTGTGTGGTGTGTGTGTGTGTGTGTGTGTGTGTGTGTGTGTGTGTGTGTGTGTGTGTGTGTGTGTGTGTGTGTGTGTGTGTGTGTGTGTGTGTGTGTGTGTGTGTGTGTGTGTGTGTGTTCTGAGTGTGTGTTTCCCTTTAAAACAACAGGTTCTATGAGAGTCACGGACATTAATTCATAGATCAAAGCAGACTGGTTTACAGACTCTCCTGTTTTGCCAATCCGGTGCTTAATAGCTCTACGGCCTGGCCGAAATGTCCATAAAATCAAGTCTGAGTTCGAAATATATCTCAAATAATGTGTGCACTGTCATTTCCCCACGTATACATAGTCTAACAGTCTGCAATTAAATGGTTGTTTCCTGTGTGTTCCACTTCCTCCTTGGTGCATCGGTAACTTTCTCAACAAAAAAAAGGAAAAAAAGATAAACGAACCCGTTTTCCTGACTTTATTTTTTTTCTCATATTTTTTTTATGTCTCTTAAACCGTTATTCCGACTTTTTTTTTTCCATGTCCCTTAGGGTCTCCGTAAAATATGATTTATTTCTTAGAATTATGACTTTGATCTCAGAACTAACATTTGTTTTCACTTTTGTTCAGATTTCCAAAAAAAAATCTAATGTGGCCCCCCTCCTCTTCCGTTTTCACTGCACAACAAACGTTAAATACATTTCACCTATTTCTCTTTAATTTATCATCTTTCTAAAATAAAACTCACTCTACAGTCGTTAGACACGTTTTTAAGTCACGAATAAACATTGAAACTTCCACTAGTTGCTTTTGACTGAAACACCCAAATGAAGCTGAACCTCGCGTGCTGGCTGCTGATTTATACTCGCGCCTAATTACCTCCAGCCGTGGCTGAGCGTCTCGTGCAGATTGAAAGGGAAGGGAAAGGTAGAAGGACAGCACAGCAGTCTGTTGCGATGAAAACAAAGTGGTGTATAATGTGGAGTGTTTTATCACTTGGCATCCTCAGCTACGCACAGGGCACTTCTGAATCTCCATTCACCAGAAGGAAAACGCATTTTAAACAGCAACAATCCAAATCAGTCAAACATTTAACGACAGACGACAGAAAACTACCCCACCGGTTACCTGCCATCCCTTCCCCATTGTCTGTACTCGCTTCCGCGTTTATGCATCCAGAGGAAAAGCTCCAGTCGGACTTTGCTTACCTGCAAGACGTTTCTGTCACCTGCTCCACGGCTGACTTTGTCTTGCGGGTCAAACCAGTTTTCTACGGCCATGGTGCCAATGCAGAGGAGCTGAGACTAGGCAGAGGCTGCAAAAGCAACGGGGTTCTCAGACCCTACGGTGACCTGCTCTTCACTTACCCTCTGACGGCGTGTGGAGCGGTGCGGGAGGTAAGATGTGTGTTGCTTGTTTCCAGTCTCTGTCCCTGCATACTCTTAAAATCTCAGTGTCTGACCCCCTCTTGGACTTTGACAGTCGCCCCCCGGTTATCTCCTCTACAAATTCACACTCCATTATGAGCCTTCGCCAAAACGTTTCCCAACCAGAGCGCAGCGGATCGATGTGGACATTGAATGCCGTTATCAAAGGTTTGTCTCAGCTTTTTTTCATCATCTTGTGTGTGTGTGTGGGGAAGCTCGATTTTCACTATCTCCATGTCCAGGAACCACCATGTGCACAAGCTGACAGTGCAGCCCACCTGGGAGACTCCTGGCATGCGTAAAAAACTGAAGGGAAATGCAAATGACTTCCAGATGGAGTTGATGGATGGTATGTTTAAAGAACAGTAGATTAGGAATAAAGAGCTTCTGGCCCCATCTCATTTGATATATTTATGTTTTAGATTTGTGGAGCACACCTGCCCAGTCACGGGTGTACCAGCTTGGAAAGACGGTTAATTTCCAGATCTCTGCACCTCATCTCTCAACTGGTTCAAAACTGTACATCAATAGCTGCTATGCTTCACCATCCAGTGACTCTAAATCATCCCTCAAATACAGCATCATTGGCAATTTTGGGTGAGAAAAGTGGACGGTAGTGCATTTTTAGAAAAATCTTTTGGTTTGGGTTCTTTAGTGTCATATTGTTGTTGTCTACAGCTGTATGCTGGACAGTAAGAGCGACCCAGGGGCGTCTCGGTTCGTCTCTCGGACAGACAAGACCCTGAGATTCTCCATCCAGGCCTTCCAGTTCACTGCAGACCCTGACTCGGAGGTGAGTGTGGTTTATAATTATCTGGATTCTCCTAGTTATTCTTTAGCTGTGGCTTAACCCAGTTTCTTTTTTAGGTTAATATTCACTGCAAGTTATTAGTCTCATCTGAAGACCTGGGTCCTGCTCACAAATCATGCACCTACAAAAAGGACAGGTGAGATTTGGCACTTTAAACTACATTTCCATTACAGGACTGTAGTCTTTCACCTGTTTCCACATGGATTGAGAATATTTGTGTTGCATTTGCCATGACAGGTGGAAGGCCCTCTCTGGTGACAAGACCATATGTGACTGCTGTGATTCACAGTGTGTGCCCTCTAAACTCCAGAGGGCCATGATGGAAGGTTTGACTTTTTTGTTGTTTTAAGACATGGATAGCATGCACCCATTCCTACTCGGATGTATTGGATTGTTGTGGTAACTTTAAGTGGCACTAAAAAACATGTTTGTATCACTAGCTTACAATTATCTTATGACCCACCAAAAGTGGAATGGGAGAATGGACACCCTACAGATGTTTACGTGCATTAAGACAATATGTTTATGTTTGACAAAGCAAATGAGGTATTATCATGAAATAAGAAAGTGACCATTTGGATAAAACCATGGGTGTTAACATGTTTTTAATTATATTGACACAATAGTAGTTAAAGGTTTTTACAGAGGGAATTTTCGATATCTCTTTGTAACACTGCAAAAATCTAAATCTAATATTTGACATGTTTTTAGGAATAAAATGAAATATATAAATCAGGATAGCGATACCCCCTCTGTACAATCCTTCGGAATATATAAGTGAAGTTGAGATATCTCAGGAAATTACTCTTTCGGAAAATGCTCTGCTAACTTTTGGTGACTGTAGGACTCACCGGCAAAGAAATAAAGTAAAATAAACACCTAAATGTGTATTTTTGGATGTTTTTATTTCAACTCGTTTTTAGAGAAAGGCATGTTATGGAAGCAACACATCCCAATCTCTCAAAATTGACCAGGTTATGCGAAAAGCATTTTTTAATGTCTTACCTTAAGTTATATCAATGAAAGTGATAACACATTTCTACTTTTAACTTTATATTTCAGGTTTTTCCAGCAGTGGGTCTTTGCTGGTCTCTGATCAGCCGTACACGACAGAAGATGACCTTCTACCAGTCGGCATTAGCGGAGTCGGCCATGTCACGATGCATGACACCGATAAGCTACAAGAGACCCCGCTGGAAAGTGATGATGGAGTGACTTATGATGATTACGATGAAGAGCTAGACTACGCATATGAGGAGGAGGAAGAGGGGTTTGAAGAGGATGAAGAAGGAAGTGGGTTTATCCTTGGAGTGATGCCTGAACCTCATTCAGAGGAGTTAGGATTTAAGGACAGGGTTTCAGTTGAGTCTAAGGTGAAGGATTCACATCAGTTAAAAGAGGATGGGTCAGGGTTTGTAGGGCGAGAAGAGAGTGAAGAGGAGGAGGAGGATTTTAAAGGAGGAGAAGATGAGACCCATTGGAATCAGGAGGAGGCTGAAGTCTTACGTCATTGGGGGCAGTTGGATGAAATCTTCACATCACAAGTCGTCCCACAGAGAGAATCACACCTGCCGGCCTCTGAAAGTGAGGAAGAGGAGAGGAAGCATACAGGTGGAGGTGAAGAGCATGAGAGGAAGCATACAGGTGGAGGTGAAGAGCATGAGAGGAAGCATACAGGTGGAGGTGAAGAGCATGAGAGGATGATGGAGGAGAGGAAGCATACAGGTGGAGGTGAAGAGCATGAGAGGAAGCATACAGGTGGAGGTGAAGAGCATGAGAGGATGATGGAGGAGAGGAAGCATATAGGTGGAGGTGAAGAGCATGAGAGGATGATGGAGGAGGAGAGGAAGCATATAGGTGGAGTTGAAGAGCATGAGAAGATGGAGGAGGAGAGGAAGCATATAGGTGGAGGTGAAGAGCATGAGAGGATGACGGAGGAGAGGAAGCATACAGGTGGAGTTGAAGAGCATGAGAGGATGGAGGAGGAGAGGAAGCATACAGGTGGAGGTGAAGAGCATGAGAGGAAGCATACAGGTGGAGGTGAAGAGCATGAGAGGAAGCATACAGGTGGAGGTGAAGAGCATGAGAGGATGATGGAGGAGAGGAAGCATACAGGTGGAGGTGAAGAGCATGAGAGGAAGTATACAGGTGGAGGTGAAGAGCATGAGAGGATGATGGAGGAGGAGAGGAAGCATATAGGTGGAGGGGAAGAGCATGAGAGGATGACGGAGGAGAGGAAGCATACAGGTGGAGTTGAAGAGCATGAGAGGATGGAGGAGGAGAGGAAGCATACAGGTGGAGGTGAAGAGCATGAGAGGATGACTGAGTGGGAGGATGACGACAGTCTAGAAGATTTCGTAGATGATGGAGAGAGTACCTGGTATTTCCCATGGAGGTAGCGTTGGGTCAATGGATCGATCAGTATTCTGCTCAAAGACCCTAACCCCCATGATAGTAGGATATTCTGATTTATTTCAATAAAAAACATGAAAATGCAGCTGATGGATTTGTCATGAATTTAAAAACATGCTAAGCAGGAACTTAAGTTCTCAGTGTTTAAATGTCATTGGAAGATTTGTATTGATATTCAACATTGATTCAAACGAGCCATGACAATTAAGAATAATGTCAACTCTGAAATGCCATAGTTTTACTTGCATTTACCTGAGGCTTAAGAAAGAAGCTGAAACTAAAAATTGCAACAATCAATATCAGAAAAAAAAGATGCTCATCAGTCCATTTGACGATTTGATCCGTCCATAAATCTTTATTCTTTCCATTATAAATGATTTCTTACAATACAGTGTCTGAAACCAGTTTGAAATATATTATAGTTCAATACAGACATATCCCACTGTTGAGCATCAACTGAGAAAGGGCAAAGCCTCCATTATCAGTAACTAAAAGCAGCAGAAAAGATATTGCTTTGCAGGTCTGCTCATTGGTTCTGTGACATCTCATTGCACCCACAAAGAGCTTTTAATCATAAAAAAGGACATGTGGGATTTTAGAGAACACATATTTGGACATGATTAAGCGATACAAACAAACTTGATTTTAAATGATGATACACAGGTTTAACACCTGTCTGTGGAGACTCTCCTCTGAATATGAAAACAGGAAACAAATAACTTAAGATAATTAATACTTTTTAACTAATGTAATTGCTGTGGAAACCGTTTTGGAGAAAATATAGAACAGAACTCTGTAGAACAGATCCATCAATGCTGGATATGTTGAATGTACAAAATCATGCTATATTTACAGATGAGCGCCCAAAAGTCCCATTGTTACATCTCAAGCTGGTTCAGCAGGACATACGTCGAAGTGTGACACTAGAGGGCGGTATATTCCCATCTCGTCTAACGGAAAGCTCAGAAGCACCTCTGGCAAAAGAAAATATGCTGTATTCATTCCTGGTAAAATGCAAACTTGAGCAAAATGAAGACCCACACCATTAACGTTAAAGTCGGAAAATTTCCTTTAAAATCCAGAACTTTTACAAATGCAATCCTTGAGATAAGCATCTCATCCATCTAAATCCATTGTCTTGCTTGCTTCTCACACAAAGACCTTGCAGCAGATTCAGTGTTATTGGTAAGTCCTTCCCAGGTCTCCTTCAGTCTTTACAATCATGTGGATGGCGTCTCTCCTCCTTCAACAGTACCTGCTGTCCCATTCATTTTCTACGTAGCATCTGAGGTTGGACAAGAAAAATAGTCAGTTTAATGAAATCAGAAAAGTCATCATAAAATAAAAAACGGATTTAAACATTATCATAAACCTATATGAGCTGCTTTAGCTGTAGAGGCATTTATAACAAAAGTGAAACCAGGTCAAAACAAACTGTATCTTCTTGAATTAGCTGAATTTATTAAGATGGTCGCTGACCTGGAATACATTTTGAGAGTATTATGGTCGAAATGATATGAATGTGGGAAGCATGGTTTATAGCATTTTAGCATGCTGACGTTAGCATCTATCTTATTAGATTGCTGTTCAGAAGTAAAGTGTTTCAGAGACTGTATAGACTTTGAGACTTGTTTATCAATTGGAGACTAACTCCAATATCTTTTATTTAAATTGAATAATCTCTCTTACCCTTGACACCGTCTTGTAGTGCTTCCTGTCCTGCAGTTTGCTCCGTCCCTTCACTGTCCTCGATCTCTTTCCCCTTCGTTTTTGGTTTCCTTGCAACGGGTGGTGGCACCTTAACTTCCTTCTTGACCCACTTCGCTTCGCCTGCCACCTTCTGTACAGTGGCCATGTCCTCCGGTGCCGGCTTGGTCTCGATCACCACCCTCTTGTTGCTCTTGGAGAAGATAAAGCTCGCTGTGCTGCAGGGGGTCTTTTGGCGACGTTGGGGAGTTCAAACTGAGGTGGGATGCGGGGCCGGTTTTTGATCTGGCCGCTGTCCTCAGGCGGATGGCCTTCTGCAGGTTCATGGAAGGAGAGGCCGTCATGGCAGGTGGAGACCTTTTCGCTGGGGTTGGGGAGGCAGGCAGTACCAAAACAGAATGGGTCTCTGGCAGAGCTAGTTGTTCAGTGTCTGTGGCAGGGGGTGAGGCGGGTAGTGAAGATGTGGTTGGTGGTGAATATGTGGTTGGTGGTGAGAGGATTATCAGAGACCTTCTGATGGGCTTCTGATGAGCCTCACCACTGGCAGATGAGGGGGGGCAGGGTTGCTAGGCTGCTGCTTCCTCATGGTAACCTCCACCGCTGCTGGCTCCTGAGCTTTAGGAGGCTCAGGACTGCTGCTGACTGACCGCAGCTTGACCATCTCCAGAAGGGAGGGGCTGACACTGAGCGAGGGTCCCTCCTGTGCAGCGGGGGCAGAGGTCGGCTCCAGGGTTTGGTTGTCTGTGCTTACAGGACTAGGCTGCTCCTTAATGCTGGCAAGGCCCTGTAAAGGTGGAGCTAAAGGAATGTTTACAGGTGGAGAAGGAGCAGGTTCTTCAGCCTTTTCTGGTGGGATAGAGACTTCTGGGGAAGGGGAGGGCTCCTGGATCGCTGGACCATGGGTGTTCAGGGGTACAACCTGAGGGTGGAGGAGAAGCTGTATAGGAGGTGGAGGGGGAATACTCTGAGGGGGAGTGAGAGTGCTGTGAGATGAAACTGAGATAGTTTCAGATTCAACCACGGAGCTCTCTCCGGGCAGATCAAGTTCTTTCGCTGGTGGATTTGGCTGTGATTGTAGGGAAGGTGGAGGAGGAATAGTTAGTGGTGGAGTAAAGCTCTTAACAGGTGTGACCTCCTCAGAAGATTGACAGGCCTTCTCTTGAGCAGATGGAGGAGACACTTCTTCAGTGGACAGACAGGATATGTCTTCAGGACCTGGTGGAGCGGAGACCTCGATAACTGGTGGAGGAGATACCACCGTCACCAGTGTGCTGGAGACCTCATTGACGTGAGCAGGGCGGGCCTCCTTTGGTTCCAAAGGAGTAACCTTAACAAGGAGCGGAGGTGTAATTTATTTGAGTGGTGTAGAAGAGACCTCCTTAGGTGGTGACGGAGGGGAAGTTTCTTTAGGTGGTGATGGAGGAGAAATACCCTTAGGTGATGTTTGAGGAGACATTTCTTTAGGCGGTGTTGGAGGGGATGTCTTTTTAGGTGATGGTGGAGGAGAAACCTTCTTAGGTGGTGGTGGAGAGACTTCTTTAGGTGGTGGTGGAGAAGAAACCTCTTTAGGTGGTGGCGGAGGAGAAACATGCTTAGGTGGTGTTGGAGGGGAAGTTTCTTTGGGTGGTGGCGGAGGAGGAATTTCCTTAGATTTGGGCGGAGGAGAAGTTATTTTAGGAGGAGGTGGAGAAGAGACCTTTTTTATTGTAGGAGGGGACACTACATTAACTGGTGGAGGGGGAGCCGTGTATGGTGGGGGAGGTGGGATATTCAGGGGTGGAGGTCCCTGGTCTGTGATCACCACTGATATAACGGACGTAGTTGTACAGTTGTACAGTTGTGCTAGTGTTAATTTCGTTGACTAAAACTATGACGAAATATGTTCGTCAACTACCTTTTTTTCCATGACGAAAACGAGACGATGACGAGACGGCACCGACGGCAGTAAACAATAACTGCAACGAAATCATCATGCAATATCGTTGACGAAAAGTGACGAGACGAAAATGTAGTTTACTAAATAAAAACTATGCCAAAATCTCTCTTTACTTTCGTTGACGAAAAATGAGGAGACGAAATATTATCAAAGATAACGTTACATCTCTGATAGTCAGTTTTTCTCCCAGCAGTTCCATTTCCGGTGCTGCGGCAGGGCAGCAGCTGTGTGTCTGTGCTGCGCGCGGCGGTAGATTTGAATTACACCGGTTAGCGGCACACTGTGAACTGTCAGGAAGACTCGGGTCTAACTCATGGTCTAACTAACCTTATTTAACAGAAAATAAAATGGAAACAACAGGGCTTGGGAGCAGTGGTCGCACTCGCGTTAACCGAATTACCCCCCCCCGTCAGCGCGAGTGAGTGATAAATTGTGTACTCGACGGGTAATAATGGATTATGACGGAAACGTTACGAACCTGTCCGTCAAAATGACTGACAACGAAAAAGTCTAAAGCCACCACTGCTTGGGAGAAAGAAACAATGTGATATTTGGGCCCATTTTCGCTACAATGAGGCGGAGAAAAAAAGCGAATGCATTGTTTTATCAGAAGGGAAGCAATGTGGCCATAACACAGCTGGTAAACACACCACAAACCTGACCAGATACTCTCTGCAAAGCTGCTTAATCATTCAACCTGTGTTTTTCATCAAATAAGGACAATATATAATCCTATTTATTTATATATACTAAAATGACAAATTATTGGTTTTGGCTAGACTAGTTTGACTGAAATGTTCTATATAATCTGATGACTAAAAAAGACTCAACAGTTTTCATTGACAAAAAGTAGACTAAAATAATTAGTTTTCTCTGACTAAAATATGAATAAAATGCTCAGACTTTTAGTCGACTAAATCGTGACTAAAATAGTTACTGTTTTAGTCGACTAAAATAAGACTAAAATGTTCAGACTTTTAGTCGACTAAAACTTGACTAAATAAAAACAAGATGAAGGTGACTAAATATGACTAAAACTAAAAAGGAAATTTAACACAGGACTAAGACTAAAACTAAATAAAAAAATAGCTGACGAAATTAACACTACGTGGAGCCACCACCAGAAGAGGAGTTCTCCTGTGGCACCTGAACAGGTAACACGAACCCCACCTCACCGAACATGGGGGGAGGCGAAAGAGGGAAGTCAACATCATCAGGCCCATTGAGGCCCACTTTTGCCATTGGTGGAGGCGGTGGGGGCCAGGAGGCTTCGGGGGACACAACGACTGATATGGTTGGGGAGGGTGGTGCGCCGGAGGAGGAGATGGAGTAATGCGTGTTAATTAAATGGTGGTTAACGTATCCATGTGAGTCTTTACATCTGGGTCTTGTGTGGATGCTGGTTTGACCTCTTCTTCTCTCACATAGCCTTCCTTCACGCTTCTCTACGGCCTTCACTAACATGCTGCTTATTATGTCACTTGCTCTCACTTTCTCCTCTTTTTCTGTCACTTTCCCATTTCCTTTCAAATCAACGTTCTGCTCAGCCAGTCTGTCGAGGTCCTCTTTGTGAACCTCTGAACTCAAAATCCCACTTTCTTGACCTTTCTTTGTTTCCAGAACACGGAGGGCTCCGCTAATGGACTCCACTGTTACATTCAGATTATTTGCAGATGCAGAAGGAGACTGCCTCTGTGGTCTCCTGTCCTTTGGATTTCTCTTTATGATGGCGTAAAGGTTATCAGGCGCCGGGGGTCCCAGCAGCAGCTCAAATGAACACTTGCTGTGAAACCACACCTCTGGAGGAGGCGGTGGAGGTGCGTGGATTTTAGGTGGCGGAGGGATGTTGAAGAGTTCCCTCAAGGCCCTTACAGAAGGGCCGACAGTTTCAACTGTGGTGACAGGTTTGAGTTCCTCACGGAGAGGAGGTGGCGTTGAACCAGACCCAGGAAAAAACCGTTGAAACTTTGCGAAGATGCCTCTCTTGTGCCTCGGAGATGGGCTGTGGGACTCTTTGGAAACCTGTGTGGATGTGCCTTCTTGGCTGGAGTAGCCACTGGATGGAGAGAATATTCTGCTAAGCTTATTCTCCGGATCCTTCTTCTCTTCTGAAGAGTCTTTCGCTCTTTCGGCTTCCTCTGATGTTCGGGCCTGCACCTGGGATCTGATGGGGCTAAATGACACAGAGCCTGAAGAGTCCTCCAGTGAACTCGTGTCAGCGGTATATCCAGGGCTGGAGGGCGAAGATCTGTAGTGGACATTTTTATTATATCCTTATATGCTTAAACCAAATGCTTCTCAAATCATTGTAAAACACCTATATCATTTCCTGAGATGTGCTGTTTTCTTCTCATACTCTAATGTGGGTTTTTATTCCCAAGCGCTTCAAGGCCACAGAGCTGATTTGGCAGACTAGGTTGAGACTCACACAAAGTCACACAAGAACTTCCCTATTCTGAGAACCGTTATACTATCTACAGCTCAAGGACAGGTGTCTAATAACAATATGAGACCGTGTGAAGACAGATTTCTGAGCTTCCCGCAGCTTCCTGTATATAAGCTTGGCTATTTTATTGTACTGCGCACACTCCTGCAGACTATCCTATACTCTGTGAGACCTGTGACTTTGTATTGCGTTTTTGTATTTGAAGCTTCAAATAAATAACCAGAAAGACAACTCTGTCTGTTTCACCATTTATTTGTTTGATCACTCTGACTTGTACTCTCCACAGTATTGGGTCTCAGATTTCCATAACAATTGGCGTTGTCAGCAGGATCTCTGCAAGTTCGATTGGGGACACCTACGGACGCTGGTGGTCGCTCCAGGATCCTCGGATTCTCCTCTACCTCGACAGAAACCGTACGGGACGAGAGGACCAGCGCCAGGGTGGAACCGATTGACTTCACGAGATCCAACAAACTCAAAAGGCTTTCAATACTCGGTGAGATGTACAGTGTCTAAATTGTTTAAAGTTAAACGTAATTAAACTCCATGACATTTATGAGAGGGACTGCTCGAAAGTAGGATATTTGGGATATCCATCGTAGCCTGGGTTTACGATCAGTCTTTGTGTGATTTGTACTGAGAAACAAATATCACATCACCGACGGGTGAAAAATAGTGTTTTGGTAACACGGGGTGTTTTGGTAACACTTAAAGACTTTGTTATGGGAGCAAAGCAGGGTGGGGGACTAGTACATCCTCCTGAGGGTCCGATTGTAGATGTCATGCGAGCAAAACATGGTGAAAGCAGTCTGTCTAAATTAAATATATGGATGAAAATGTTCGGATTTCCAAAGGGAGGTTCTTTGAGTAAATTAAAAATCAAAAACCTAAGAGATAAATTACAAGAGTGTGAAGATGGAATGAAAAAGAAGAGTAAAGTTAAAGTAAAAGACTTAGAAAAACTGGACACTCATAGAAAGTGTTTAAAATACTGGGAGGATGAGGCAGAGTGCCGTGAAAGAAGGCAATTGGCTGCGGCAATAAAAAAGATACAGGCTGACGATGAGGGTGATAAGAAAGAGAAAAAGGGTTTCATGTTCCCCCCCCATATAAACCACACACTTCTCTTTACACAGGCGTGGGGGACCCTCTCCTCGACCTTGGGTTTCCATTCTCCCCTCTCCCCCCCGTTCTACTGCCTGCTGAGGGGGCTGCTGGGGGGCCCGCTGCTGAACCAGAGGTCAACATACCGACCCCCGCCGGAGCAGCTGCCGAGGAAGACAAACAGAGAGTGAGCAGAGACGAAGAAAGACAGAGAAAAGAAAATGAAGAAGAAGAAGCAAGACTGGAAAAGATCCATGACAAGAAAGAGAAAAAGAAAAGAAACGCGAGGAAAGCTGAACTCTACAAAAAAGAACACCTCCGCAGACAGGAGGACAACCAGAGCGACCAGGAGGACGAAGAGCATAATCTCGTCTTTCCCATGATCCAGGTGGCTGGACATGCTGGTCCGTCACTCGTCTGCCGCCCATGGACCATATCAGACATGAAGGAGATATCAAGAGATCACCTCCCAGATGTTGAGTTAGGAGGTGCTAAATTCGCTGCAGCACTCCTCATGTTCTGTAGACAATTCTCCCCCACCATGCCGGAGATAAAGACATTGTTGACTCTGAGAATGGGTCCGACACACGTCAGCCATTTCACCCATCTACTGGGAGGTCAACAGCACATGGGAGACACCAAGTGGGAGGATGCCCTGAACGCTACCTACCGCGATGCTTTGGCCAACCTCGAGACCGCAATAACTACAAAGTTCCCCGCCAAAGTCGACGTGTCAATAATCTATGCATGCAAGCAGAACCCGGAGGAAACAGTAAATGACTATTACCACCGCTTAGAACAAGTGTTCATCGAGAACAGCGGCATTATCAAACAAGAGGCCGGGGAACAAGCCGTATTGGGAGTCTGGGAGACACACCTCAGCAATGCTTTCCTCAACGGCCTATCCCCGGCTATTTCTGCATCGGTGCGAAACTCCTGCATTGGCGTAATGGACGGTGCCCGGCTGGAAGAAATTCGCCGACATGCCATGCATGCCGAGAAACGCCTCTCAGAAGAAAAAGCCAGTGAGGAAAAGACAAGGCCCAGCTGACCATGGTCCAGGCTGTTACAACCGCCTGGTCCAACCAAGCCCAAGGTGATGGCCAGGGCAGAGGGAATCGAGGAGGAGAAGGAGGTTTCCGAGGCCGGGGAGGAAAAGGCAGAGGACGAGGAGGAGGCCACCGAACCAATCGCTGTTTTAACTGCAGAGAGACGGGTCATCGGATCGCTGAATGCCCACACGAGAAGCAGAAAAAGAACTTTCGATCGGATAAATCGGACCGAAACAAAGACAATTCTTCAAACTGACATCAGTCGAAGGAGGGAGTGGGGGAGGAAGGAATTCGGTCGGGAGAGACGGAACCTCTGCCAGCAGCATCTAACCAGGGAAGTGACACACACACACACACATCATGCAGGCTATTGAGAAATTGGAAGATTTAGAGAAAATGTCTGTAATTGAAAAGGGTACATATTTGAAATATGACAGTGAAGCAGCATTTAAGAAATTTCCCACACTTACTTTAGCTATCATGGGTGTTAATGTTACATTTCTGGTTGATTCGGGGGCTACTCATTCTGTGGTAAAAAGGGCAGATCTGCCAGATTGCAAATTTAGTGGAAGATTTATTCACTCAATAGGAGCGGCTGGGGTAACTGTGAAGGAGAAGTTTTCTATACCACTTCAGTGTAAAGATAACGGTGATGACAGTCATCCATTTCCCACATCAGTCAAACACAGTTTTCTTTTATTATCTGTCTGCCCAATAAATTTACTGGGCAGAGATCTGATTCTCCGGTTCGGCTTAGACCTCAATTTCACAAATGAGGGTCTCAAAGTCCGACGGCCATCTCCATTGATGGTTCAAAACCCCACATTTGATGATAAAGAACTGGTGAATGTGTACCAATGGCTGTTGACACATCCTGATTCTCAGGAGTTGTTGCGTTTGACTCATCAACGTGTTTTTCCACCTGCTGTGTTCATGGAAACTTCTCATTTGCATTGTATGGCTAACGTGGTTGATGAACCATGTAAATACTATGATGAGAGTTTTCTGCTGGAATGTTTGAATGATGAGATCATGCTTAAAACTATGTATTGGAATTCGCTGTGCAGCGCTATCTCTGTTAGACTCACACCCACACAACACAAACTGTATCAAATCCCAGGGGCGGTCCCACACATTTCACTAGCCAGGGGCCCCACTGATAGATGGAGAGATTTGGGTCCAATCGTTAAAGACTGGGGATCTAGTACTGATTGGACTAGCACAGACGACCCGTTGATTGAGTATTCCCCATCACATGACGTGTTTAAGTACAGCATTGACTGCTCAGTTCATGTACTGCGTTCTCTGACTCTCACAGGCAATGATGACTATGTTAACCCCGTTGCTGGCCCATCTGGCCCGGAGTTCTCATTTTTCAATCATATTTCTGAGCTCCCTGACGCGCTAAAAACAGTGCCTAAAACACTGTGGGCAGCCCACAAATATGATGTTGGGTTGATTCGCTCTGCACACTGACTCACGCTATGCTTTTGGGGTAGTACACGATTTTGGGGCTATTTGGAAGTGTAGACAATTTCTGAAATCTGATGGCAAACCAGTACTTAACCATGTACTGGTTGCAGGCTTACTAGACGCCATTCTGCTCCCATCTGAAGTTGCAGTCTGTAAATGTTCCGCACACGCAAGCAGTACAGACCCAGTTTACCTAGGAAATGCGACTGCTGACTCAGCCGCAAAGGCAGCTGCTCTGATTCCTCTCGCACCTCACGCACACTCATTTGTTAAAATCCCTGTCTCCTCCCTCACTGACAACATGTCATCACTGACTTTCATGCAGCAGCTAGCTACACCAGTTGAGAAGGCTCAGTGGAAGGCTGCTGGGGCTGTTTTTGACCCAACCTCCAGCATCTGGGTTGGTCCAAATTCCAATCCATGTCTCCCAAGACATTTCTTCCCTCATTTTGCTAAGTTGACACATGGGTTGGATCATGTGTCAAAAGGAGGGATGTTAGAGGCTATAAATCAGGAGTGGTTCACAAGGGGGTTCACAGTAACAGCTCAAAAGCACTGTGAAGCATGCCTAATTTGCATTATGCAAAATTCTGGTAGACCAGTAAAGGTTACAGGACCCGGAGCACATCCACCTCCCACCAGGCCATTTGAGCACCTAATGCTGGATGTCATTGAGCTTAGCCCATCAGAGGGTCAGAAGCACTGTCTGGTGGTGGTTGATATGTGGTCCAAATGGGTTGAAGCTTTCCCAGTAAAAGCACAGACAGCAAATGCTGTGGCAAAGGCACTACTGAGGGAAATCATTCCTAGATGGCGACTACCAGACAAAATGTCTAGCGACAACGGTTCACATTTAGCTAATGAGGCCATTACGCAGATAGGAGAATACATGGGCATGGACATCAGAAAGCATTGTGCTTATCATCCACAGAGTGGGGGTGGGGTGGAAAGAGAGAACGGCACAATAAAAAACAAACTAGCAAAATGCTGTGCAGACACAGGGACGGGTGGTGCAGTGGTCTGTGCATCTGATCATCAGATCAAGGGGGGTGCTGGGGAACTCCAGTTCGAAACCCGCTCCTGCCGCCACTGCGTCAGGCCGTTGTGTCCTTGGGCAAGACACTTCACCCGGATTTGCTCCTGTGGGTAATGTCCAAAGTACATGTATAATATCAATGTGTACTTGTAAAAGCGCCTCGATGACTTTGAGGCGTGAAGATGGACGGTGTGGCGCAGTGCGCTGTGCAATGATCATCAGATCAAGGGGTGAAACCTGCCGCTGCTGCGTCTGTAAAGCCGTTGTGTCCTTGGGCAAGACACTTCACCTGAACTTGCTCCTGTGGGTATTGTCCACAGTGACCATTGCATGTATAAAAAAATAAATATAAATAAAAAATGTGTATTTGTAAAGCGCTTTGAGCATCTGGAAAAGCGCTATAATAAATGTATGGATGCGGAAAAGAACACGGAGTCAACTCAACCCATTTGAAATCCTTTTTGGGGCTCCTCCACAGATTGGACTCAAGGCTCCAGGATGTCCTCTTCCCTCCACAACTTTGTGTGAGGATGCTATGTTGTCATATTGTGTTAACCTGTCATCCACTTTAGCAGACATCCGACGTCAGGTAGCCGCAGCCTTGCCTACCCCTGCCACTGGTCCACTTCACCATCTCCAACCCGGCGACTTCGTGCTGGTCAAGGATTTCCGGAGAAAGAGCTGGAAATCCAATCGTTGGCAAGGTCCCTACCAGGTGCTTCTCGTCACCCAGACGGCGGTCAAGGTCGCCGAGAGAGCTACATGGGTCCACGCCAGTCACTGCAAGGTCGTAGTCACAGGAAAGGAGAAACAGTAGAAGCAGACGACAACAAGTGACGTGTCCTAGTCACCAACGGAAGACGACAACAAGTGACGTGTCCTAGTCACCAACGGAAGACGACAACAAGTGACGTGTCGAAGTCACCAACGGAAGAAGTAGACGACAACAAGTGACGTGTCCAAGTCACCACCAGCACCACACTTGCACTACATACACCAAAACACACTACACACAAGGTGTCACGAGCGAGTACCAGCTGAGCGGTTCCATATGCCTCTGGTTCCTCGTTTGTGTTATCGGTGTGCGGAGTCTGACTGTCCGTGTCACAAAATCGACCGAGGGAATACACAC